GCTGGCTGCGCAACCAGGTGGTGGCGCCGCTGACAGAGGAGCTGGTCTTCCGCGCCTGCATGCTGCCCGTGCTGCTGCCCTGCGCCGGCCCCGGCCCCGCCGTGCTCGCCTGCCCCCTCTTCTTCGGCGTCGGTGAGTCCCCCCGCCCGGATGCCCGGGGTCCCTGCCCCAGCCCCTGGGGGCACACTGGGTCTGGAGCCCCTTTCCCTGGCCCGTCCATCCAGCCAGCCACGTGGTGCTTTCCCTCTGCTCCTCCGTCTGCCCGTCTGTCTGTCCGGTGGCCCTGAGGCCTGCCCCGGCCTGTCTGTCTGTGTCCAGCCACCCTGGCCCCTTGTCTGTGTGTCCAGCCACTTCGTCCCTGCCTCCGTCCAGTTGACTTGACTGCCACATGGTCCTTGTCCTGCCTGTCTATCTGTCCAGCCTCCCTGGCCTCTGTCTCAGCCTGTCCATCTGTCTGTCCATCTGTCCACCACCTTGGTCTCTGTCTCTGCTTTGTCCAGCTGCCCCAGTCCCTGTCCCATCCCTTCTGTCTGCCGGTCTGTCCAGCTGCCCTAGCCCCTCTACCCTGGTCCCTGCTCCGTCTGTCCAGTCACGCTGGCTCCTACCCTGGCATGCCTGTCCAGCCGCCCCTGCTTGGCTTGTCTGTCCGTACAACCAACCCCCACCAATGCCCCCAGACACTCGAGGTCTGGCGTGGCCCCTGTCTTGGCAGGGGAGGGTGGAGCGTGGGGATCCCCCCAGACCCTGCCAGCAGCCCCCAGGGCGGCTGGGAGGTGGGGGTGGGGGAGCCCATGCCGGTGGGGGGCAGCTGACGGCCTCTCCTGCCCCCAGCTCACTTTCACCACGTCATCGAGCAGCTGCGCTTCCGCCAGGGCAGCGTGGGCAGCATCTTTCTCTCAGCAGGTAGGACCTGGCATCAGCCCGGGGGAGAGGTCGGGTCTCTGAGGACCCCCCCGGCTCTGGGGGCCCGGGGTTCTGGGCAGTCAGGGGCTTTGGGGGGATGCCCAGAGCCCCTGGCATGGGGTGGGGGTTGGTGGGGGGCTCTAGCAGGTGCTGTCTCCTGCCCGCAGCGTTCCAGTTCTCCTACACAGCCGTCTTCGGGGCCTACACGGCTTTCATCTTCCTCCGCACAGGTGGGTGCCCGCTGGGGAGCTGGCGTGGAGCTGCCCTCGGAGCCCAGGGCAGCTGGACTCCTTGGTTCTTTCCCAACTCCCTGCCCCTCCACCTGGCTCCCACCCCCTTGGGCAGCCCCACAACCACTCCCTCCCGCCGTTCCCGGACACCTGGGTTCTCCCCCAGCTCCCTGGCCCTGGAACAGGTGCCACCCCCGCCCCCCTGGAGCCACTGACTGCTCCTGATCCTCAGTTCTCTCCCAGCTCCCTGCTGTCCGGGTGGTGGGGGGCTGTGGGGCAGCTGGGGTGATCCCCCACTGCCCCCCCTGACCTGCCTCCCCTTCCTTCCCCCCCGCAGGGCACCTGGTGGGACCAGTGCTGTGTCACTCCTTCTGCAACTCCATGGGCTTCCCGGCCCTGGGCGCAGCCCTGGAGCACCCGCAGCGCCTCCTGCTGGCCGCCTGCTACCTGCTGGGCGTGGCCCTGTTCCTGCTGCTGCTCCATCCCCTCACCAACCCCGCCTTTTTTGGCCACGCCCCCGTCTGCGCCCTGGCCGCCCCCAGCGTCTCCGTGTGCTCCTGACACCGGGGTCCCCGGCCCCCCTGCTGCCCCCCAGACCCGCACAGTGTTTTTATAGTGCCCCGCTCTCGGGGGCTGAGAGAGAGTCTATATTTTTACGATTAAAGGACTTTATGCTGCTGGATCTGTCCAGGCTCCCGTTGGTGGGGGGCTAGGCACTGGGTCGTTGTCGTTTTCCCCCCCCCCCCCCGCCCCC